CCCCCCACCCCCACCCACGTCCTCACGTGCTACCTGAGTCGTCCTACAGCACGTTTTCTGCTCATGGTAATACACTTTCCAATCTACCTTGATCACAATGATGTCCTTGCCATCCAGGTGAACAGATACAGATGTAACCCACATCAGATGTCAATTCACAAGTGCCACCATTCAAGCAAGGTTGTCGATCGCACAGGCTTGTCCGCCGACCTGCATCCAACTGCACAGTTTGCTGATCCTCCTGATTGGTGGACACGATCGAACTGTCCGTGGTGGGCCGACAAAGCGGAGCCTCGGCCAAACCGGACGGTAATCGGTCCACTCCGATCCAGGCCAATTCAGTACTGTCTCCACTGATCAAATCCACATGTTGCTCCTGCAAAGGGGATTCTGTACGAAGGCTGAGTTGGAGCAAACATCCGGAAAATCCAACAGTTCCTTCGACGATCGGTTGGGCATATCTGAATTGAATGAAAGTTGTAAAAGTTGGTCATTGTCAAATAGTGTAGAAATGTCTTCCATTCCTATCGCATAAAGAGTTTCTGTTGCTAATATTATCTATCATACATGGACTGGGTGTAGAGGTGGATCGACGGTTCTGTCGTGTTCTCCATATAACTCATCCGACCGAATAGGAACACACATACATGTGTATTTCTCAGATAATGAAATGAGTGAAGGATCTCATACTCCAAAGATTGCAATCAAAGGTTGATGGAAACAAAACAACCGGAAAAATTGAAAATGAAATGTCACATGCAGTCCATCTGAATAGAGTGAAAGTTCGTGTGTGTTTGAGGATGGGAGGAGATGAATATACCAACTGTATCATGAAAAAAAAATCCGTAGCAGGTCTGAAGTAGTTAGTTATTATTTTTAATTAGATCGCGTCACTGTTAGGTGCATCGGTAACGCGGTTCGGTTTCCGATCAGAGGCGTTCAGATGCTTGAACTCATATCTCGATGCGGATATAGTTCGCGTTTCGATAAGTGGTGAATAACTGCGAACGTATTTGCCAGTGTTCGAACCTCTTGATCCTGTGTTGTGACAATTTGTGGTTAGCTGACGAAGTCAATTTTATCCCGGATTGAATGCTTCGTTTCCTACTAATAGAGCTGGAGACCGATACGTTGCATTCTTGGCTGGGCAAACAATAATTGCGATGATCTTCGAGATGCAGGGATGGCTGAGTAGGACCTCAAGTGCACTTGAATTACTGAACTATCGTGGACGAGGTGGACTCTAATTTTGTCTTAGAATTCGATTGCTGGTAATATGAAAAACGCATTTGGTGTTAGCGGTAGGTTCCTCTCAATGTGGCATTCAAAACGCTCACTTGAGATAGCCTCCCGGTAGAAGAGAAGTTCGATGAACAGTGCTTTGTTTTTCACTGGTCTTTTTCGTTGTTGATTTGTTCTTTTCAGTNTTTCAGTTCACCTGCTGTGGATAAATATCTCGGGGTAGCCGTAACAGTCTCTCTCTCTCTATGTGGAACTATTTCGCCTCTGCGGTAAATGCTGTGAACATTTGTTTCGGACAAAATTGAAAGCAGCGTATCGGATTGCACCTGATGCACGACGTGAGGAAAGATCGTTTTCTGCCCACAACCTATTTTCTGAGTAATACAAGGAGCATATCTGTCAATTTAGTAATCTTTGACACACTGGTTTTAAGTAGCGTTGGACAATCAACGTCTCATTTTAAATAAATATCAGGAAAATTTCATCTTCGGCACCTAGAGTATGAGAATCAGCTATCGTGCGACAAAATTTCTTATTGGTTGAACAAACCAACATTAGCATCACATATTCGAGTGCGGTATCAACTGAAGCCATATATATATATATATACATGTTTCCATCGATTAGGCAGTAAGCGATAGGTTACCCCAAATACTTAATCGGAGTCTATGTGATGACGCGTACTTACCAGGCTAGCGAGGATCGTGCTAGATGTCATTCCCGCTTCATTCTGATCAAATCAGCTTTCGTG